TGAAGCAATAATGATAAAAGCGAGATCTCCTCCTATAAGCTCTTAGAATCCAAATCCAATGAAGAACAAAGATAAAAACATGTTTATTGTTTAGAGGAGCAATAGGAGGCTGCCTAGGGCTGCCTTAGGCATGCATTCTCTTGCTCTCTTGGCTTCTTAATCTCAGAGGCTAACAACAAGTATATATAGGTCTAGGATCTTCTAGGGTTAAGTGTAGGGCAAAAAGATCTTTTTGGTCGAAACTACTTCAAACACCGGTCCAAGCAACGATCAAAGAACACGATCGATGTCAAGCTCAAAATTTCCTTGCTTCGTGCTGTCATCGGTCTGGAACAACGGCCCACAGACTGACCCGGTGCATGGCTTGATTATGGCCTTGCTTCAGTTTCGAGACAGTTTGACATGTCTTTTGTCGGAGGTGAGGAAGCAACCGGAGAAGTAACCACTGGAGCCGAGAGAGGAGGAGGAAGAGGAGATGGTGATGGTGACGTTGTGACAAGGGAAGTCGAGGTTAGGCGAGGAGACAAACTTGACGAGTCTGGGTTGATTGAGTCCATAGCGAGAGGAGAGGATGAAGGTAAGATCGGAGAGGAGCGCACTGTCGGAGGACGATAAAGATAGATCATCAACAATTCCGCTACGGTGGACCGTCTAGAGAGACGCTTTTAATTAGGTTTTTACTTTTTCGCTTTTGAGATCTCTGTTTGAAGGCACGTGACTTGGCACGTTCTCACTTTTTACTTCTTCCCATGCAAAGAATAAAGAAGAGAATTTTATTGCGTTGTTTTTAATCAAATGTAGTTTAGATTCTGAACTCAATCAAATACTAGTAGCACATCCAAATCTCCATGCGTTTTGGACCGGCTCTGACTCTAGGTATGTTCTTTGGCTATTTTCATCAGATATTATGTGGTTAGAGATAAAATTGTATCCTATATATAATAGTTGAGTTTCACTTACAAAGGGTTGACACATAAGCACCCATTTTTCTCACACATTAGATTTTATAAAACAAAAAAAAAACTTGAAAATTTGATACTAATAAATTTATCATGCTTTGACTCATCTTCTTCGTCTCTTTAAACAATAGTTGGTCAAGATATATTTAATGTTTTATCCTAAATATAAAAAACTTATTCAAACGCTATTTCCAAAACATAAAATAAAAGCTCAAGGTTAATGATGTTGAATTATTAAACTGTAAAAGAGTTGCAGAAGTAAAAATTCATGCAATTAGATTGGCTATAAATCTTTTTATTTGACTAAGCATGCATGATTTGCAAATGTTTTAAAAGTCCAGCATAAAAGAGATCTTCTTCCAAGTTAGACATCGTCATCGCAACTATGTCATGAAAAGAGAAAGCAATTGTAATACTAAGTCACACGAAAATTGAAGAAAAGGTGCATAAGGTGCTTAAAAAGGTGTTACTAAGTGCATAGAGATAGACCCCTAAATCCCTCTTTTGATGCAACAACTTGAACATCGTTGAGGACTGATGTAAATTGTCCCGTCAAGATCCCTCTTTTGATGTATGCACCAAATGCACTGATTTGAGCGTTCTCAGGATCACTAAGCTCTCTACATGCCTGCCAAAAAGTTGAATCTCATGCAAAATACTATTTCCTCAGAAGTTACAAAACGCAATTATTTCAATACCCTATCTAAGTAAGAATTAGAAATAGTATAATATTTTGCCAAGAAACTCACTGCTCTTTTATACCCTAAGCATAGTTGCTCACATCAAACGGCAGATCTCATAGTACGAAAGATCTATATCCCAAGAAGCAACTTAAATAGGTTACCGCACGGAAATTCAACAGAAAACGCAAACTAAACAAAAGAGCATAAAAAGGTGTTACTAACTGCATAAAGACCCCTAAATCCCTCTTTTGATGCAATAAGCCGGACAGCGTCAAGGGCTGATGTAAACTGTCTACACTACAAGAAAACAGACATTTAGCGTCAGCGTAATTCGACGCTAAAAGCCCTTAGCGTCGAATTAGCGTCGAAAATGATTTCGACGCTAAACCCTCGACGCTAATTAACTTTCGACGCTAAATCGACGCTAATTTTACGTCGAAACTAAATACGACGCTAATTCGACGCTAATATTTCGACGCTAATTCGACGCTAATTAGCATCGATTTAGCGTCACAGTGTTTCGATGCAACAGATCGACGCTAATTCGACGCTATTTAGCATCGATTTAGCGTCACAGTTTTCGACAAGTTCGACGCTAATTCGACGCTAAATAGCATCGATTTAGCGTCGATTATTTTTTTTAAAAATAAAAATGTTTATAAAAATATTATAAAAATATATTAAAAATTAAAAACATTATAAAACAAAATATGCGATACAAATGAAATAAAAATCCTAATCTACTCTTGTTGTTGGGTCCTTAGGTTGATGATATCTTCCCGGATCATCTCTTCGGATTCTTGCTCGAATTGCGTAGGACCGTCAGGTGGAGGAGGCGGTGGAGGAAACTGAAGCCCTTGCAAGGCAGTTGCTAATGTCGGATTATCCACTGCAATGATGTTGAAGAGACTGGTCATCGCCGAAAGTTTAGTCTCTAGCTGCGAAATCCTAGAATTAGCAGTTTCAACCTGCCTGGTCAATTGCGGCTGAGACGGACCCGCGGTGTAAGAATATCGAGCCGACGAACAAGCTGCTGGGACATCTCTGATGGATCCAACAC